TGGCACATTTCAGAACACATGTTCGTGAAGACACAGCAACTCTGAACGACATGCTGGAAGCAGCCCGCACGCCCAACTGGGCCACATATGAAAGGTCGTTCTGTGAGTGAAGGCTTCCCCACATGATGATTGTTGTTTTCCACTTTCCCCGCCTCCTCCTCCTCCTCCTCCTCCTCCTCCTCCTCCTCCTCTGACCCGGCTGCCGCGCAGACCGACGCAACTGTGCGGCCAGGCGTCGTTTTCTTTCCGCCGTCTTCCATGTTTCACATGTGGCTGGCGCCCCGGTGCCAACTTGCCGGGCCCTCGCGGCTCACCCTGGCAAGGCCGATTCCGATTCCGATTCCACCCCCCCCCCCGAGGTCCACCTCAGATCCCCGCGGTGCCTCACTCCGTTGGACCCACCAGCAGCCCTCGAACGTGGCGACAGTTTCGCAGATCGCAGCCCCCCAGGGACGGCGAGGGATACCTCAGATCCCCGCGGCGTCTGAGCCCGCAGGACCCACCACCAGCCCTCGAATGTGGCGACAGTTTCGCAGATCGCAGCCCCCAGGGACGGCGAGGTCTACCTCAGACCCCCGCTGTGTTTCACTCCGCTGGACCCGCCAGCAGCCTTCGAAAGTGGCGACAGTTTCGCAAATCGCAACCCCCCCAGGGACGGCGAGGTCTGCCTCAGATCCCCGCGGTGCCTCACTCCTCTGGACCCCCCAGCAGCCCTCGAAAGTGGCGACAGTTTCGCAAATCGCAACCCCCCCAGGGACGGCGAGGTCTAATCTGAATCTGCGTAAGAGGTCACTCTGCTGGACCCCCCAGCAGCCCTCGAAAGTGGCGACAGTTTCGGAGATCGCAGCCCCCCAGGGACGGCGAGGTCTAATCTGAATCTGCGTAAGACGTCACCCCGCTGGACCCCCACAGCAGCCCTCGAAAGTGGCGACAGTTTCACAGATCGCAGCCCCCCAGGGATGACGAGTTCTACTCAGAATCTGCGTAAGACGTCACTCCGTTGGACCCCCCAGCAGCCCTCGAAAGTGGCGACAGTTTCGCGGATCGCAGCTCCCCAGGGATGGCGAGGTCGAATATGAGTCTGCGTAGGGCGTCACTCCGCTGGACCCCCCAGCAGCCTTCAAAAATGGCGACAGTTTCACAGATCGCAGCCACCGAGGGATGGCGAGGTCGAATCTGAGTGTGCGTAGGGCGTCACTCCGCTGGCCACACAAGCAGCCCTCGAAAGTGGCGACAGCTTCACAGATCGCAGCACCCTATGGATGGCGAGGTCGAATATGAGTCTGCGTGGGGCGTCACTCCGCTGGACCCCGCAGCAGCCTTCGAAATTTGCGACAGTTTCACAGATCGCAGCCCCCCAGGGATGGCGAGGTCTAATCTGACTCTGCGTGGGGCGTCACTCCGCTGGACCCCCCAGCAGCCCTCGAAAGTAGCGACAGCTTCACAGATCGCGGCCCCCCAGGGATGGCGAGGTCTAATCTGAGTCTGCGTAGGGCGTCACTCCGCTGGCCACCCCAGCAGCCCTCGAAAGTGGCGACCGTCTCACAGATCGCAGCCCGAAGAGAGGAGGAGGGAAGAGAGGAGGAGGCGGGAGGAGGAAGAAGATGCGACCGCAGTGCTCTATTCAAAACGAGTACCCAACGCAGGAGGGTTGGGAATAACAAGATTCCCGATAGTTTCCGATATTTTCGGGGGTGTTGTTTTCCCCCCACCTCCCATATTTCCCCACATATAGGGACATACGTAACCCACCAAGGATTCGCCCCCTGGGAAAGGCCCAATGCATAGGAACACACGAAACGCACTCAGGATGGAGCCACCGGAGAGGGGCAATAAGGGTTCGCGCCCCAGGAGAGGCCCAAGGTATGGGAACATACGTAACGCACTTGGGAATGGAGCCACCGGAAGGGGGCCATATATAGGAACATACGTAAAGCACAACGGATTCGCGCCCCAGGAAAGGTCAAATGTATAGAAGCATATGTTAAACACTTTGGTTTGGAGCCGCAGGAGAGAGGCAAGATCTGGGAACATGTTTGAAATACCAAAGGTTTCGCGGCCCAGGAGAAGCCCAATCTATGAAAACATACGTAACACGTTTAGGATTGGAGCTTCTCCTGAGGCCTCCATGAAGCCCCAGGAGGTTCCATGAGGCTTCAAGAGGCCCCAAGAAGTCCAGGAAGCCCTTCCTGGTGCCTCCTGGGGCCTCCTGGGGCTTCCTGGTCTCTCTTGGGGCCTCCTGGAACCTCTTGCCTCATGGGGCTTCCTGGTCCCTCTCGGCCACGCGCAGATGGGGGTAGGGGGAGGGGGGGAAGGCTTCTGAGAAGCACCCCTGCTTCTAAGAAGGCGCGGACCGTGTCTGCAGATGCAAGGCCCGCGCATTCTAAAGGAGCAGCCTCCTTCTACGAAGCCTCCCCTCCTCCCCCTGCCCCCCCTGCGCGCGCCGCGGACCCTCCTGGGACTTCCGGATGCCTCCCGGCGTCTCTTGGTGAGGATTCGCGCCCCAGGAGATGCCCGACCTGCAGGAACATGTGCGACACATTCATCGCTGGAGCCACCGGAGAGTGGCAACCTGGAGGAACACACGTAAAACATTGAGGGTTCGTGTCCCGGGAGACGCCCGCTATATCGGAGCACGCGGGGAATACATCGGACTGGAGCCACAGGAGAAGGGCAAAGCGTAGGAGCAGACGTAAAACACCGAAGTGTCATGCCCCAGGAGAAACCCAATCTATACAAACATACGTGAGGCACATATGATTGAAGCAACTCCTGAGGCCTTCTGGGGCTGCCTGTGGCTTCCCGGAGCATCTTGGGGCCTCCTGGGGCCTCCTGGGGCCTCCTGGAGCCTCCTGGTGGGGGAAGATGCGTGCCGCAGGAGAGGCCGAATCTGTAGGAGCAGATGCAGCACACTCAGGATCGGAGCCACTGGGAACGTGCGTCAAAGACAGGAGCCGTGCCCCAGGAGAGGGCCAATCTATAGGAGCATACCACAAAGCACGTGGGACTGGAGCCACAATCTGTAGGGCCGCACGACCTGACAGCGGACAAGTCCTGGCCACCAGAGCAGGCAGACCGCCCGAGGCATCCTCACAGCTTGGGCCCCCCTGGGATGCGAAGAAACCAGCGGCTCGCCCGAGGCGAGCGAGTCCGAGTGCGAGCGAGTCATTCTGATTGAGGAAGCAGAAGAGGGAGGGGAGAAGGTGAGAAAGTGTAAAGAAAGAGGTTATCGGAGCCGTCTAACCAATCACACCAGTCCCATCTTAAGGTTTGGGGCATCAGCAAACAGCGGCACTGCAGCCACATGGGCAGCGACGACCGCATGAGCAGCAACTACATCAGCAAAGTCGGCAGAGGTTTCCGATGTCGCAATTCGAACTATGCCAGGTATGAATCCTCTTCTGCTAAACCGTAGATGTCCTAACGCATATTTGAGAGAGCGTGATCCACCGCCGCTTTACTGTGGAAAATTTCTCCCCCCCGTTCCTCCGGAACCCGGGGTTCCCCCCGCCCTCCGAAACTCCCCCCCCCTGCTGGACCCCCCCCCCCGGCAAAACCGCCCCCCCTCCCCTACCCCCCCGCCCCCCTCTAAACCGGGGGGGGTCATTACCGGTTCGAACCCCCCCCCTCCCCTTCGAAAACCGGAGAGGGGGTCACTACCTGTTCGAACCCCTCCCCACCCCCACCCTCACCGCCAGCAAACGACTCCCAGTCCCTACCACCGTCCGCACCACATCCCCCATTGTTGTTCCCAGCACCACTGTCATCACCACCACTGTCCCCACTGGTTCGACCACTGTCCCTACAGTCCCCACCAGTGCCCCCACCACTGTCGCACTGTCCCCACTGTCCCCACCACTGTTCCCACCACGGTTCCACTCTCCCCACTTTCTCCACGGCACCAACCACTGCCCGACTATCCCCACTGTCCCTTCTGTCCCACTGACTCCTCCGCTGTCCCACTGAGCTGCCCCACTGTTGCCACCACTGTCCCCACTGTCCCCACCACTGTCCCCACTGTACCTCTGTCCCATTGTCCCACCGCCGTCCTCGCCACCGCCTTCACCACTGTCCCCACCACCACTGTACCCTCCACTGTCCCACTGTTTCCACCACATTCCCACTGTCCCCACACCACTGTCCCCACCACCACCGTCCCCACCACTGTGTCCCACTGTTCCCACCATTGTCCTCACCACTGTCCCCACCACTACCGTCCCCACCACTGTCCCACTGTCCCCACCACTGTCCCGCTGTCCCCTCACCACTGTCCCCACCACCACCGTCCCCACCACTGTCCGCATCCCCCCCAGGTTTTCGAGGGGGGGGGGGGTTCGAACCAGTAGTGACGCTCCCCCCTTTTCATGATGGACTGGGGGGGAGGCTTTCGAACCGGTAGTGACCCCCCCCCGGTTGTCCGGAGGGGGGGGGGGGGGGTTTGAACCGGTAGTGACCCCCCCCGGTTTTCCGCCAGCAGCGGTAGAACACGCTCTCTCGCATATTTGGACAATAAGAAAACCCTCCCCTCCCTCTCCTTCCTCCCCTCCGTCCTCCCCTCTTCCCTCCTCCTCCTCCTCCTTCGCGGGACCATGTCGGAGCATGCTTGGATTGGGGTCCTCGTGGCCCGTCGAGGGCCACTGCACGCCATCGCGGCATGCATGGGGTCATTCTGGGCGCGATGAGGATATTTTGGGACCGCCTGGGCGACCAAAGTGGGAAACGTCCGAGAGTTTGATGTAGTGATGACGTCCCGCCCCCCCCCCTGTCCTTCAGGCTGGACGGTGGACGTTTAGGACACAGGAAAAAGGGGGGATGGGCACGCCAATGATCTCACACGCCTTTTGGCTCCCAGCCAGCGGGAGTCGGCGGATGCTGTCACCTTGTCTCCCGACGTGTTTGTTCCCCCGCTTGTGTTCCCGTCCACCGATTCGTGATTCCGCGCTTGTGCATCTCTGTATGACACCAGTCACATGTTCGTTGGCTCGATCATGCGGGCTCAGGTGTGTCAGGCCTTCAGTCGAAGGCCGAGCTGAATGGCCGGCTGGCCTCGATCATCGGCGACACCAATGGAGAGAGATGGCCGGTTCTTCTGGCGGGGAGGGGAGGGCGATGGAGTCAGAAGGCGAGAGAGGTGTAGGTCAAAGCCGTTAGTTCGGATTTTGTTTATCGGAGTTTCATTGAGCCATATTGGGGCGTAGAAGGGCCACTGCGTGTCACTTGACCATATGACGTCGTTGTGGGACTACCGATGACTCCCTCGGAGCCTGATCCTTGGCAGCGAAGTGAAACCCAATGTCCGCCATGCAGTACCACAACTCACGACACTGCGTTTGTTTGTGCACTACGCGTGAACAGGTACGCGCATGCGTGCTTGCATGCATGCAGCATTGCGAGAGCTGGTGCACTCTCTTCCCCCTTCTTTCCTTTTCTGCATCCGCATCCTCTCTCTCTCTCTCGTATTCCTTCTTCTCGTCCTCTCCTGGAGGTCCAGAAAGGTCGAGACGTGCCACGATGTTGCTAGTCGCGGACCCGGCGAACGCACGAATCGGTCAGGCTAGAAGTGGGCCACAGCGAAGCGAATTGTGTACCAAATTTCGCACACACACACACACACACACACACACACACACACACGCACACACGCACACGCACACGCACACACACACACACACACACACGCACGCACACACTCGTGGGCGGTCGCGGCCTCGCGCGGAGCGTCGAGGCGGAGAAAGGTCAGATTTGGTGCCACTCGGCCAGGCCCTTCGAGGCCTCACCGAAGATTCCTGGGCACGCCATTAGCGCAAGCCATTTGGGCGCGGATGGCAAGGAGGGGACACGCTGACCTGGCGCTGGACTTCCAACGAAGCCGCAGCGCGAGAGCGTGGAGGGGAGCATAACCATCCATGCCTGGATCGCGAGGGGGAAGTGCGCCGTCGAACACCAGAGATCAGCGGAGACGTGGCGCAGGTGGAGGACAGGAGATACGTCGAACGGACAGCGACGCCACATACACACACACACACACGGATAAATAAGCAAGCACAACATTGAAATGCAAACATAAATTGGATCGTAGATCACTGATCCTCAGCTTCATCCTGCTCCCCCTCTTCCGCGCAGGACGGAATTAGGCTGGAGGAGGAGGGGGAGGGCAAGTGCAGGAGGAGGTTGGCTCTCCCCGTGTTCCTAGCTGTTGGACTCAGAGCTCCCCTGTCGACGCCACGGCTGGGCGAGGCTTGAAAATCTGCCAGAAATACTCGTCGCGGCTGTCGCAGAAGGCACGGTTGGGCTCCTTCACCAACATGTTCGAAGAAGGAGGAGGAGGAGGAGGAGGAGGAGAAGGAGGAGGAGGAGGAGGAGGAGAAGGAGGAGGAGAAGGAGGAGGAGGAGGAGGAGGTGGGGGGCGGATTGGGCGGAAAACATGTCCGTATCCGCGGCCTCGCGGGCCAGGCCGTTGGGCCGTGACCCCCGCGGATACGGGGCGTGTCTTCGCGGATGCCCCGCGCGGAGCGTGTCCGGACGACCGCGTGTCCGCGGGATCGCGTTTGGGAAACCAGACCGCGAGGGCGTGGATAAGGATTCGACCGCCGCTCGTGAGGCGCGGGAGGATGATAGGGAGGCGGAAGGCAAGGACGAGGACGAGGACGAGGACCACGAGCGGCCCAGCATTGGGGCAGGAGGGCGGCCCCGAGCCGCTGCTGCTGAAGACCGCGAACCTGCAGCCGCTGGCGCTGGAGATGTCGCAGCTGCTGCTAGACTCCAAGTCAGATGTCCTCGGGGGGTCTTTTGCCGGGAGCCGGGCAAGGGCTGCTAAATCCGTGGCTGCTAAAATCGACCTCCGGGAAGTTGTCTCCGTCCTTCCGGGAAGAAGCCCGTTGACTGTTTCCTGTGCCGCGCCTAATTCCGGGAAGTTGTTTTTTCCTTCCGGGAGGGCCGTTTTAGCAGCCACGGTTTTAGCAGCCCTCGCCCAGTTTCCGACTTTTGCCGGGAGCCGAGGTTCGGTGCGATCGAAGTGGGCACGAAAACCAGCAGCGTTTCTTGTCCGTTCTGAACCGGGCGCGTTGCCGGCGTCACCACGGACACTGTACATTCGAGACGTTGGGCCATATGTCTTCTGCCCGGAACCGAGGTGGTGGCACAGAGGCCGATCTTCGGTACGATCGGTATGAAGACGGACAGAAGTTGTTGTTCTCATTTTGATCAAGGTTCGCTGTCGGCGTCGCCGCGGAGGTTCTCCATGTGAGACCTCGCTGTCGGCGTCTCCGTGGAGATTATCCATGGCAGACGATAGGGCGCCTGCCCAACAGCGGCTGCTGACGATGTTGGATAACACTGGTTTGTGGACATCGTACCCAGTTTTCCGTACCCATCTCGTGCGTCCAAGGAGGTAGCAGTGCAGAGGCCGATCTGCAAACCCAGATCTCCGACGATACGATTTTTCCCATCCGGGCGGTGTCCCTCGATGTCGGCACCTCTCGGGCTCGGGCGGGGCCAAGACAGGGATCTATCGTTCCAGAGCGTTCTGGAACGCACGCTCTGAGAAGGCCGCGGCGCCCGATACATGTTCCAGAGCCGCTAAATCTCAGTTTCCCGATTTGTTTTGGCCCGATGCTGTCCTTGTCCTGGCGTCGCGGAGGAGGAGGACGAGGAGGAGGAGGAGGACGACGACGACGACGAGGAGGAGAACGAGGAGGGAGGGGGGCGGGGAGCAGAAACGGAGGCATGCCACCAGCAGAGGGGCCGCGGCGTGCGAACTCTCCGGGCGGCTAGCCCCGAGCAGCGCGCGGCCCCGCTCTCGCCGCCTCTGCCTGGGCGCGGCGCGCACCCCTCGGGCCCTGCCGGCAGGGTGTACGGGGATCTCGGCGGACGCTCGGATCCCGACCGAGCGCGCTGGAGAGGGGAATCAGAGCGTGAATTACCTACCCCGCTTTCGCCTCCAGGCAAAACCGAGCCACACCACGCGCCTCCTCGTCAAGCGGCCTGACCGGGACAGGCTGCAATTTGGCATCGTTTGGTATCTCTTGGAAGCGAGGGTGGTCAAAAGCGAGGTGGGTTTGTTTTCCCCCTAGGGAACGAAGAAGGAGCGTCGTCCGGTGGCAAAGCCCGGGAGTCCCGCATGCCATCGCAGCTCCGTTGTCGAAGTGCGCTTGCGGCGATCAGCGTCTGGTAATCGAGGGGATAGCGCCAATCTAGCGTCGATTGGTGTCGGCTTAGCTTGGATCACCGTCGGGTCGGAAAAGCAAACAAGATGGCATGGGAGGTTCCAGTGAGTTGCCACGACAGACTGCGTAAACATGATATTCCGAGGGTCCACACGGATTCATCGGATATTCGCGGGGCTCCCTTGGCGGCGTCTCAGGCGTTGCATGTGGCGCGTTTTGCGCGCCACTGGAGAGGTCCAGCGCCGATCAAAGATATTTTGCGCGGGCCTCTACAAGTTGGTATGTTCGCCATGTTTGTCTTCCAGGATCCCATGGGTGAAGATCCGATCGTGAGGCGGGCGAGGGTCGGGACGAAAGCAACGAGAGGACCAAGCGCGAACGGAGAGGAAGGGTCAGACGCGGCGAGGAGTACTGGATGAATATTAGTGCAGCATTGTTTGAGCGCCGCTTGCACGCGGGGTGAACAAGGGAGGGGATGGGCGAAATTGACTCCTCGAAGGCGTCAGTGCCCAGAAGCTTCGTTGTTTTGCAATCTTTTGCGGCTGTGAGCATTCGGGACTGCATCCGCATCGCTTGAAGGTTTCATATTGCCAAGCGGCTGCGAGAGCCTCTGGACGGGTAAGCTGTTGGATTTCGCGCCAGTGGAGGCACCCTCGTACTATTTTAGGCAAAGCGCCGTGCTAAAATGTGTTATATCTATTGCCATTCGGCCCATTCGCCACCGTCTTTGAGTCTTGAAGAAGAGACCTCGTAGAGTCGAAGACGTCTCTCCAAAGGCCTCTTGAAGGTTTCGTGGCTGCCCCTTCGAGGCCCCTTGGCAGTCCCTTGGGACCCGTTGGGCGCCTCTTGGGGACCCCCCGGGTGCCGTCTGAGATGCTGTGGGGCCGTCCTGGATGTTTGCCGGACCGAAACATGCAAGCTTGAAGGAATCACACAGAAGCCTGAGGCGTCTCACTGGTGTTGGCCTCTTGGGCCAGACCCAAGGGCTTCAGGGACGACGTTCGGGGGGCGACGTAGCCCTCCTCCGATTCGCGGCATCACAGGAAGGGGGACAGCGGGAGGCAGTCTTACGCTGCCCTTCATGAAGTGGTTGGCGAGCGAGCGTGGGCGGACGGCTACACTTCCAGTACACTGACGTTTCGTGCGTGTGCGACCGCGGCTTGCCCCCAAAAAAACGGCAGCTCGACGGATGAGGGTGGAGGGATGGCCGCCGATGACCGCAGGATGATGAACACGAACAGCAGCAGCAGCTGCAGCAACAGCAGCAGCAGCAGCAGCAGCAGCAGCAGCAGCAGTAGGACGGAGATGGGCTGGAGGGCTGGCCGCAGATGCCCGCAGGATGACGAACACAAGCAGCAGCATCACCAGGACGCAGGAAACTGGATAGGGTTGCTGCAAATGGCGACAGACTGGGGGGCACGTCCAAGAACAGCATCAGCAGGACGGAGGGGGGTGAGGGACGGGGGACAGGGACCAGAGGGGCATTTGGAGCTTCAAGGATGGGGTCGGGCGACCGCCCAGCTGCCGGCGGCGCCCAGCACTCCGAGCGGCGACCCCTCGACAAGCGCACGGGACACCGTTGCGCGACATCTCGTGCCCCGAGGATTAAGACAGGCGTGACACGTGGCGCGCTCTTCCGAGGCTCTCCGGCGCCGGCCTCGCGCAGTCCTCGCGTGTCTCTCTCTGCACGCCATTCCTGCCTGATCCCCTCTGTGATTTTTCGGGTCTCTGCGGGCCCATCCTGCATGCGTGAGCGCCTGGAACAGCGCCCAAGTGGCCATGCGACACTTCGGCCGCTGTGGCATTTGTCGTCTCAACTCCATCGGGGGCGATCATGGGATGCATTCCGGCCGGCGTGGCAATTTCGGATTATTTGGGCGGGGGCTCCTTGAATGAATAGGTTTGCCACAGGCATGTGAATAGATTATGCGCAAGCTTTGGTCCTGAACCTGTGGTCAGTCTATGGACGCTGGCGCCCCACGATACGCCTATGCACAGCTTGCGCATAGGCCTGCCGTAAGCTTGTGAGTAGGCTACGCACAGGCATGCGCATACCCTACCGATTGGCCTTTCGTAGGTTTATGTTTAGCCTACCGATAGACGCGACGCATTGCTTTCGGATTGGCCGATCCTAGGCCTTCAGATCGATGTTGCAGGATCTGGCGGTTCATGTGCCGTCGGTGTAGTTGAACCCTTTGTATAGGCTTATATTATGTATGTCTATGCATAGGCTACGCACTGCGGGCTGTTGTCTAACAGGACCGCATGGGGTCTCTCGAGAACCCCTCTGAGGCCAGCTTAGGGCTCTCTTGGGGCCGTCTTGGGGCCGCTTGGGCCATTTAGGAGCACGCTGACCTAGGCACGTTAATGGTCCCGGTGAGTGCTTGCGGGGACGACAACTGGACCGATGTTCGACCAAAAACCGTGGAAGGCGAGTCTTGAAGTTCAGGGGACCATTTGGGCTGCCTGTTGTGGAACTCCTGTTTGCCATTGGGGGGGTTCGGACAGAATTGGAAACGGCCAGGGAATCGTTAGGCCGCCCACGAAGTTTCTGGAGGATTCATTACAAAATTACAGCAATCATAGCAGCCAGCTGTGGCAGTCGAACGCGCCCACATCGCTCAGGCACGGTGGTAGGCAGACGAACATGATGGGGAACGGGGGCAGGGCGGAGGAACGTTCGGGCAACAAGGTCAACGGGGACGGGGGGAGGAGGACGGGGGGAGGAGGGCGGGGGACGAGGAGGAGCGGGGGCAGACGGAGGAGAGGAAGGTGCTGGGGGGGGGAGGGGAACAGAGTGCTGCGAGGAGCGAGGCAGAGCAGGGATTGGCAGGGGCGGGCGGCGGGGGGGGGGGGGCAGGGCGGCGGGGTGAGGTGAATCTGGGCAACCGGAACTTCGGCGAGTCCCGCGGCGTGCTCCACGAGGTGGCCCTGCAGGCCCCACCGCTCGGGTGCCCCGCAGCTGGGTGCCCATGGCAGCTCTGCCGCCGTCGTCGGCTTGTTTCGGGCCCTGCCTCGGGGGATCCTCCTGCTCCTCCCCCTCCTCCTCCTCCTCCTCCTCCTCCTCCTCCTCCTCCTCCTCCTCCTCCTCCTCCTCCTCCTCCTCCTCCTCCCTCCTCCTCCTCCTCCTCCCCTTCTCCTCCTCCTCCTCGTCTTCCTCTCCTCCCCCTCCTCCTCCTCCTCCTCCTCCTCCTCCTCCCCTCCTCCTCTCCTCCTCCTCCTCGTCCTCCTCCCCTCTCCTCCTCCTCCTCCTCCTCCTCCTCCTCCTCCTCCTTCTCCTCCTCCTTTTTCCCCAAGCGGTGCAGTGGCCACACCGTGGGGTGAGGCAGTGATGATTTTGGGCGACCGCACGGTTTTGGGACCTGACAGGGGGCTTCCATGGTCCCAAAGCGGTGCGGTGGCGGGCAGTGCAGTGAGGTCGGTGGGGGGTCCGAGGTCACCGCCAGGTCTGGCACCGCACGGTTTAGGTGCCCCCGAGTCATTGCCGCCCTCGATGTCATAATCTGAAAGAGCGTGTTCTACCGCTGCTGGCGGAAAACCGAGGGGGGTCACTACCGAATTGAACCCCTCCCCCCCCCCCCCCTCCGGAAAACCGGGGGGGGTCACTACCGGTTCGAACCCCTCCCCCCCCCAGTTCATCATGAAAAGGGGGGGGGTCACTACTGGTTCGAACCCCCCCCCGCCCCCCCAACTCGAAAACCGCGGGGGGTCACTACCGGTTCGAACCCCCCCCCCCTCGAAAACCGAGGGGGGGTGCGGACAGTGGTGGGGACGGTGGTGGTGGGGACAGTGGTGAGGGGACAGCGGGACAGTGGTGGGGACAGTGGGACAGTGGTGGGGACGGTAGTGGTGGGGACAATGGTGAGGACAATGGTGGGAACAGTGGGGACAGTGGGACAGTGGTGGGGACGGTGGTGGTGGGGACAGTGGTGTGGGGACAGTGGGAATGTGGTGGAAACAGTAGGACAGTGGAGGGTACAGTGGTGGTGGGGACAGTGGTGAAGGCGGTGGCGAGGACGGCGGTGGGACAATGGGACAGAGGTACAGTGGGGACAGTGGTGGGGACAGTGGGGACAGTGGTGGGAACAGTGGGACAGCTCAGTGGTTCGAACCGGTAGTGACCCCCCCCTCCGGTTTTCGAGGGGGGGGGGGGTTCGAACCGGTAGTGACCCCCCCCGGTTTTCGAGTTCGAGGGGGGGGGGGGCGGGGGAGGGTTAGGGGAGGGGGGGGTTTGCCGGGGCAAAGGGGGGGGGGTTCAGCAGGGGAGGGGGGATTTTCGGAGGGGGGGGGAACCCCAGGTTCCGGAGGAAAAGGGCGGCAATTTTCCACAGTAAAGCGGCGGTGGATCACGCTCTCTCTATAATCGGGGGCGGCCAGGAGGGAGATGATGGCCAGGGGAGTATACTGGTTGGGGCCATAATATCTCCCAGATTTGGTGGCACTTGTTTTCTTCTTCAACGCATCCGCTGCGCATATGATTCGGGTCATGATTTGCGAACCCCCATCTTGGAAGCCCCCCTCTTGGACGCGCCTGAAAGATAATGTGGGGGTTCCTCCCTGTCCCCCACCTGGTGCCCTTCCCCCGCTCTGTCGCGCTGCTCTACGAGGCGGCCTCCGTTCGTGTTCCCAGACCGACCAGGACCACATCATCCAGGGAAGATTGGGCGTCCGTGCGGTGGTTTGTGCGTGCGTTTGCTGGCTGGTGCTGTATGGTCTTTGTGCCAGGTGAGCGCATGGAGTATAGGCCGGTAGTGAGCCTCGTGTGGCCCGAAGGTCTGACGGTCTTCCCTCCGCGGTGTCCTGGGCTCCTCCGGCGGAGCCCAGGCCCCCCGCGGATGGGCGCCGCCCGCCACCCTCTCCCATCGCGTGCGTGCTCTGTCCCTACCCTCGCCCTCCTCGTCGTCATTTTGCAGGACGGTGCAGAGAGAGAGAGGGAGGAGGAGGAGGAGCAGGAGCAGGAGCAGGAGCAGGAGGTGCAGGAGGTGCAGGAGCAGGAGGAGCAGGAGGAGCAGGAGGAGCAGGAGGAGCAGAAGGAGGAGCAGAGGGAGGAGGAGGGGCGGGGCGACTTCTGTGCGGGGGCTTCATGCGGAGGCGAAGGGCGAGGCTACCTCTCGCGAGCGGGGAGGGGGGACGAGGGCGAGGAGAGAGGAGCGAGGAGTGCGAGGGGAGAGGGCGAGGGGAGGAGGGAGCGAGGAGAGGGGAGAGGAGGAAGGAGGAGCGAGGAGGGGAGGAGGGGGCGAGGAGAGAGAGCGAGGAGGGAGGGGAGGAGAGGGAGCGAGGAGGAGAGGAGGGGGCGAGGAGAGGAGGAGGGGAGCGAGGAGGGCGAGGAGCGAGGAGGGCGAGGAGCGAGGAGGGGAGCGAGGAGGGGGCCGCGCGGTTCGGCGTGGCCGCCGCCAGGGCGACGAGGCCCTCGTGGCCGCGGTGCTGGCCGCCCGGGCCGAGGTCAACAAGCAGGAGCGACGGGGGGTCGTTCGGCGGGTCGGCGCCGCCGCTTCTCGGCCGAGGTCTCGGGCGTTCACAAGCACGGATCGAGGCAGGGCTGGACCTAAGCGGTGTTTTGGCGATGTCGTGGACCGTCTTCGCTTCGGCGTCGTTTTGCGGCAGAGGCGGATGGAAGACAGATCGAGGGAGAACGAACACAAAACGAAAACGAAAAACACCGTTTGGGTTCAGCCCTGGATCTCCCATGGGAAATCGCGGGCTCCCGCAGCCGACAGGGGCGGCACCAGCCGCACTTTGAGGAGGGCACCTCCCCCGATCCATGGATCTGGCGCGCGGCGCGCGGACACGAGAGCACCCCCAGGGGGCCCAGGAGGGGACGGAAGGCATCGAGCACCTCCCCCTTTGGAAGGGGCCCAGGGACGCGCAAAGAAGCAGACAGATCCCAGGATTCCCAGTGTTTTTTCCCATATGTTCTGGTTTTCGTCTTCCCCCCCCCCCCCCACTTCCCATAGTTTCCCATATTTGGCGACCGCGCGCCAGATCCGTGGATAAGCTAGTCCATGTTTGCCCGCCCCCGAGTCTCGGGCGTTCTCGCCGGTCCTCTGCGGCGTTCCAGCCCCGGGGTGCCCTCCAGCAGCTGCGCCTCGCCGCCAGCTCTCCGGGGGTGCCAAAGATCGTCCCGAGCGGCCGCCGGAGGCCCGAGGTATTACGCGAGAACCAGACGACGGAGTCCGTCGTCGATTCGTCGTCGATTCGTCGTCGTCGTCGTCAGGCGTCCGTCGTCCGTCGACCGTCGTCGATTCATCGTCGTCGTCGTCGTCCTCCTCCTCCTCCTCCTCCTCCTCCTCCTCCTCCTCCTCCTCCTCCGTCCAGCGTCCTCCGGCGTCCGACGTCCAGCGTCCGGCGTCCGTCGTCCTTGTCGTCATCGTGCACCGTCGTCTCGTCGTCGTCTTCCGTCGTCGTCCGTCGTCCATCTTCTGTCGTCTGTGGTCTGTCGTCTGTCGTCTCTCTGTCTGTCTGTCTGTCCGTCTGTCGATCGGTCGGTCGGTCGGTCTGTCTGTCTGTCTGTCATCGTTTTCGTCATCCTCCTCCTCCGCGCCATCATCGCTCCCAGATCTCCGACGATATGTTTTTGGTCCAATCCCAGCGATGCTCCTCGGTTTCGCCCCTGTGGCGCCCATCATCGGGCCCCGGGACCATCAAAACATATCGGGACCCAAAAATTGCTTGCGAGGATGTGGTCGAGACCCCTGGGACGCGGATTGAAAAAATCTGATTCTCAGATGCTTGGGTCTTCATCATCGTCCCTCCCATCTTCTCCCCCCTTCCCTGGGGCCAAGAATTGCCCGCGGGGACGTGATCGCGACCCCTGGGGCGCGGATTGAAAAAAACAGATTCTCGGATGCTTGGGTCGTCATCATCGTCCCTCCTCCCATCTTCTTCCCCCCTCTTTTACCCATCGGTCGTTGAAAGTAGGTATGTTTGGATGCATTGGTTCCACTATACTTTGAGAGCCTTCCTACTTCAATGCTCGAGTGGTTTCACCTTTTCCGTCCTTCTTAGAGGGCGGACGGAACCCAATATGTTTTCAACGCTTTCCTACTTCATGGTTCTACCTACTTCTTCCGACCGCTGGGTGCCCATCTCCACCCTTTCCCCCTCCCCCTTCTGAGCTCTCTCAGGCTTTTTGAAGTGGACAATGAGACCCTCCTCCCCGAGCTCTTCCCCTCGCCCTGCTCCCCTGGGCAAGGGTGCTGTGAGGTTCTAGACAAGAGGAGGAACATCTGCGGTGCGGGGGGACACTGATTCCAGATGTTGCCAGAGGAGGAGGAGGAGGAGGAGGAGGAGGAGGAGGAGGAGGAGGAAGAGGAGGAGGAGGAGGAGGAGGGGAAGGGGGAGGGGGAGAGGGAGGGGGAGGAGGAGGAGGGGGAGGAGGCGGAGGAGGGAGAGAGGAGGAGGAAAAGGGGAGGAGGAGGAGGAGGAGAGGAGGAGGAGGAGGCAGGAGGAGGAGGAGGAGGGGAGGGAGGGGAGGGGGAAGGGAGGGAGGATGAGAAGGAGGAGGAGGAGGAGGAGGAGGAGGAGGAGGAGAAGGAACAGGAAAAGAAAAAAAGGCAGAGGCGGAGGAGAAGGAGAAAACAAAGAAAAACAGAGGAGGAGGAGGAGGGAGGAGGAGGAGGAGGAGGAGGAGGAGGAGGAGGAGGAGGCGGGAAAGGAGGAGGAGGAGGAGGAACGAAGCCCACATGGCCTCCAGAGCACCCCTCACGAGGCCCCGAGGTCCCCAGGGGCTCCGATGTGGCGCGAGTAAAACTAGGGGGGGCACACCTGGGGCCAGGACCACTGCTAGTACACCTTAGGCGATGCTTAAGAAAACTAAACTGTTCGGCCAGAGTCTCGCTTATTCTTAATGTTTCAATGTAAATCCTACAAATTTGGTAGAAATTCTGAGTTTTTATTCAAATTCTGAGACTATGAATTTCTTAACCCATGATTTCTAAAGCATTTCGCAGGGTGTAGGCACCCGAGGATGGGGATTCGGCCGGCGGGGGTGTGAGTGGCCATTCCTCGCGCCACCCACGGACCGATGGAATCGTGGCGCGCTGTCGGTGCCGCCTCCAGATGCGCGGACCAGGGAAGGAGGGAGGGGGAGAGAGAGAGAGAGAGAGAGAGGGGAGAGAGAGAAAGAACAGAGAGCGAGAGAGAGGAGCAGCAGCACGAGACGGAGGGAAGGAGAAAGTAGGAGGGCCAGAGGGCGGAAAGGGAAATGGGGAAAAGAGGGGAGGAGGGAGGGACAGAGGAATGAGGGAGGGAAGAGGGGGGAGGAGGCCGCATCTGGCTTCTCAAAAGTCCCACCGCGCGAGCAATACAGTCAACCCGCATAGCAAGTATGGGCAATATTCCCAAGGAGACTCCTGCATCCTTGCCTCCTCGGTCCATCCTTGGCCACTTTTGTCGGCCGCGCCCCGCTCGAGCAGCATCGACATGCGCGTCCAAGGCCCTTGCATCCTGATCGCGCAACATTATGATACGGGCCGGCTGTAGGGGAAGCGGAGACCGAAGTCGAAGGGCCGTCTCAGAGAGGGGGGTCGCTTAGCGGCCTCAGGTTCGATTCAAAAGCGCTCCCGCTGGCATCTTCTCACGATGCTCGTGCTCCAGCTCCGTTTCGGCCCCTCCACCTCTACCTCTGTTTCTCTCTGTCCACTTCCTCCCCGTATGTCATCCTCGCTCCATCCGCACATAATCTCCCTCTTCGCTCCTTCTTCATAGTTCCCTATACTCTCCTTACCTACGTCATCGCTCCGCTCATTCTGGCAGCCTGTACTGTGTCCAGGTTGCTATGCGTTGCGTGGCCGCAGCGATTTGGAAATTTTCGGGCTGTGGCAGATTGCCCGAAGTCTTGCGTGAAGCTCGCGCTAAGGAGGAGCAACCGTTCTCTCGGCCGCTTGAGGAACCTTTTCGGGAGCATTCGGGGGAGGAGCAGGGAGAGGAGGAGAGGGAGGAGAAGCATGACGAGGAGGAGAGGGAGGCGTCTCGGAGGGCCTGTGGGGCCTTCCGCCCATGCATCCTGAGGATGAGCATGAGCAGAAGAGAAGTGCAGACTCATCCCGCCACCGTGCCTGGGCTGTGGGTCAGGGGCTTATTGGGTGCATATGATGGTGTCTTGGAATGCCTCTCGGGGCTCTCTTGGAACGCTCTCGGAGGCCCTTCTTGGTTTCCTGGGAGCCTCTAATCAAGAAACCTCCGAGGACCCCTCTTGGGACCTCCTCGGGGGCCCGCTTGGGGGTCTCTTGGAGGCTTGCTGACTGTCTCGGGGGTCGTCTTGGGACAGAGGGCTCGACATGTTTCTTCGTGCTTCCCCCCTTGGGTTTCTCTTTGGGCTATCTCGGGCCATCTTAGGAGGCCTGTTGGGGCGTTTAGGAGGCCCGCTTTGGGGCTCTTTCGGGCCATCTTAGGAGGCCATCTTTGGGGCTGCATCGGGGCCTCAGTGGGAGCCTCTTGGCTCGTTTTGGGGCGATCTTGGGGGCCTCTTGGGCAGTCTTGGAGCGCTGGAAGCTCGGAAGGGCAAGAACACCGAAATCCTTCAGAGAGGTAAGGCAGAGCACGAACATATACCTCTCGGGGCCGTCGTTCGGCCTCGCTCTTACTCTTGCCCCTCCTCTCACCTCCTCCCTCATCCCTGCTCCCTTCCTCGTCCTCCCCCACCTGTTCATCACTCCTCCCTGCCCTTCGGTCCACATCCTACAACGCATCCTGTCATTGGCTGCGTACCGAGTGCTCAAGCATCAAAAGGCGCATGACATCGCAACAGGATTTGCGGCACTTCCACTCAGGTGCAGGAAGGAGTTTGGAGAGGGCGCGGCCAGTTTCTACACAGTGGCCTCGAGGGACGAGCATGTCTTTTCTTCTGGTCTCTCGGCATCGTTCGGACGAGGACCATGTTGGGCCATCTTGCCAAACACACACACACACACACGCGCGACATCGAAAAATGCACGGGGAATGGATGTCCGAGCGATGGCGAGGCCAGCGCCATCAGAAAGGAATGGAAAGTGTCAGGCGGGGAACAAAAATTACACAGGCACAATAGATCGCCGACTCCCAGGACAATGTCGAAAAATATGCGAGGGGGGGGGGGGAAGACGAAACTCCCGAAAATGTTGACAAATGTTGGCGATCCTGGGATTCCTGTGCATTTGTGCGTGTGTGTGTGTGTGTCCCTGGGCCACTTCCGAGCAGCGCGACCGCGGCGGGCGCTGCCCTCCCCGGGGCCGAGCGGTCGCCCAACCTGCACGGGGCGCGAGAACGGCCAGCGGCCGGCGCACGGAGCCCTCGCCGCGACGCGCCACGCGGCAGCGCTCGCGCCACTCGGCGGCGAGCGAGCGGAGGGAATCGGCGTCGCCCCAGCACACCAATACTAGGTTCGGGCGATCGCAGATTTCCGCCGCCGAGCGGGGCGGCACCTGCCGCATTGTGGGGAGGGCACCTCCCCCGATGCATGGATTTGGCGACCGCGCGCCAAATCCATGGATCGCTAATCCATGTTTGCGCGCCCCCGACATGTGTGCGTCGCCCCCCACCTGGGGCGACGCGCGCACCGAGAAATCTTGTAGCATATGCGTCGTGGCGGGCGCCTTCTGGCCACACCGCTCGGGAAACGATGTACTGCAATATCGGTGTACTGTATGTTCGAGTCGGACCCGCGCCACCAAGGAGAACGTATAGTACCAGTGTGTCCCTGTGCGTCCCAGGGAAGTGAGAAGGACTCGGCCTTCTCAGAAGGCTCAAAAGTCCCCCGGCCTTCTGAGAAGTTGCTTGAGCCTTCCCCGAAGACGCCGAAGTCTCCTCAGGAGGCCGGAGGGCTTCTAAGGAGCCCCGCCACCTGCTAAGAGGGCCGTCTCTTGCTCACGTTCCCGCCCCCCTCGCTCGCCGCCGAGCCACAGGCGGCGGAGCCGCATGAGGCACTGCTGCCTACCGGGCCAGATTGGAGCATCGACAGGGTCCGCGCAGCCATGGGCAAGCAGGGCGTGGCAGCAGAGAGCATGGGGACGAAGCCCGACAGCAGGTCCTGTCCGTTTGTGGACAGGGATCGTTGTCGGCGTCGCCGTGGGCGTTGTTCATGTGCGGCGACAGGCCGCTTGCCCAACAGCGGCAGATGTCTGATCTGGGCAACATGTGCCTTGGGGAATGTTGCTGTTTTGCGCCAAACCTTGTGACACGTCTTGGTAATGAGTGCACGAGGGCGTGCGCTGCATGCGCTCCAGGCCCCCACCGACGCCAACGGAGTGCTCGCGCGGAGGATTCACGCCGAGTCTTGCAATTCGGGCGCCGCGTCGCGAGTGCAGGGCTTGATGAGCTTGACCCCGAAACACGATCCGCCTCTCATTTTGGTGGAGCTACGAGATCACCCTAAGCGACTGGGAATATATGATCCACGAGCGTGAACGCATGTTGGGCGATGTCTTCAACGGTTTGATGAACATCTCAAGAGCTATCTAAATGCCGCTGCAGATGCAGTGCCTGGACGTCGGCGACGCTACAGCTAGTGATCGTTTTTGCCATTCCTTGTTCTGCCGATCGGCGCGGGCCCCAAAACCCCCCCTCCCCCTAACCCCCCCTGGAGTAGATCTTGGGTGTTTATTTGGCGCCTGTTTCGAGCGGGTGGAGTCTCCGCCAGAGGCAGCACTCTTGCAAACAGTCGCACTCAGCAGAGGTCTGGAGCCAGACCCCCCCGCCCTTCCCCCCCCCTCCGCCCAATGTCGAAACACCGAAAAGAAAGCTCACCTACTGAAGAGCAGCGCCTCGTACTTGCACGGTTTGATTATCAGTGACGTGAGGTCAAGGCCAGAGTACCGGCACGAATGCTACGGAGGTCGACGCTTGAACGCAAAGGCAACGACAAGAGAAACAGTACGCGCGAGCCCAGGCCACACAGTGTAGACCCATACCAAGAAACACCCCGCTTGCCTCCAGGGTGCCCTGGGTTTCTTTGTGTTTCGATGGTTTTGCTCTGGAGAGCGCGACGTTCCCACGCCAAAAAGAATCGATGGACGCCCCGGGGTCTCAGGGCTGGGTTCCTTGTGGGGGGTTTCCTGTGGTCGGGCCCCCACTGTGCGGTGAGGCATGAGGGCCGATAGCCATAACTAATTCTGAAGGGCAGGTCCAGAGATGTGCACGGGAGCACGCCCGGGCGGCTCCCTGGCCCCAGCCGCGTGAGGCAGCCCAATCAAGCGCGCGCTCTGCGGCGCCCCCCTACCTCCAACTCGTTTCCCTCCCCCCTTTTCCTCGTTCTCCCGTCCAATCCCATCCCATTCCTTGCACTCCCCCCCACCATCCGATCCTTCCCCTCATCCCGCCTCTTCCTTCCCCTTCCCCCCCCTCAGCCCTCCCCTTCATTGCCTTGCCCCCAACTCCCCCCCCCCCACCTCCGCCCCCTCCCCTCTCTCACTCCTTCAACTCACCCCTCCCTTCCCTCACTCGGCAACGAGCGAGGGAGGAAGTGAGAAGGCCTTCTCAGAAGGCTCGGAAGTCCCCCGGCCTTCTGAGAAGTTCTCTGAGCCTTCACCGAAGACGCAGGAAGCTTCCCAGAAGGCGCGAGAAAGTCCCGCCGCCTTCTGAGAAGGCCTTCTCCTTCTCACGTCCACCCTTCGCTCGCCCCCGACTCACCTCCATCCTCCCTCCCCCCCGTCCTCCTCCTCCTCCTCCTCCTCCTCCTCCTCCTCCTCCTCCCCCTCCCCCTCCCCTCCCCTTCCTCCTCCTCCTCCTCCTCCTCCTCCTCCTGCTCCTCCTTTTTCTCATCTTCCTCCTCCTTCGGGCCCATGCCGCCCCTCCCTCCCCCGCTGCCCCGCGCCGAGAGGACACCAAGGGGGGCCTGTCCGCGCTGCACCTGGCGGCGAGGGGGAAGCACGGCCGCGTGATCCGGCTGCTCCTGGAGGAGCGGGCCAGATTCAGGAGGGGAAAAAACACACAGACACAATTAATCGTCGATTCCCAGAAAATATGGGAAAATATGGGAAGTGGGGGGAAGACAAAAACCCAGAAAATATGGAAAAATGTCGGGAATGTTTTGATTTGTGTGTATTTATTTGTGTGTCCTGGGGCCCCTTCACAGATGCTGGAGGGGGGGGGGGGGGCAGCCCTCCTTCGCCCGAGTGTACACCTGGACCGCCTGCCCTCTAGGGGGCCGCTCCTCCCGGAGCTGGAGCGCAGGCTCCTGTCCTTCGCCCGAGTGGACGAGGAGGAGAAGAAGCACGACGACGAGGATGAAGAGGAGACAGAGGAGGAGGAGGAGGAGGAGGAGGAGGAGGAGGTGCGTTGGCCCCCAGAGGGAGGGCCGAGGAAGATCGAAGATGGAAGTCAGGAGCGAGGAGAGACCATGAGGAGGGAGGAGGAGGACGACGCAGGACGGACGAGGAGCACGCCGGAGGAGACGGAGGAGGCGAGGGAGGAGGAGGAGGAGGAGGAGGAGGAGGAGGAGCAGCAGCAGCAGCAGCAGCAGCAGGAGCAGCAGCAGCAGCAGCAGGAGCAGCAGCAGCAGCAGCAGCAGCAGGAGCAGCAGCAGGAGCAGGAGAGGTGACAGCGCTACGGCCCCCGGGAGCGCGGGCCCTCCGCACCGAGGCTGGCGCCGATACCGCGCTGACCACCACCGCGGGGAAGACGGCGGCCGAGCTGGCCGAGAAGAACGGTGCGCCCTCAAGGGGGAGCTCCTCCTTCGCCTGCTCCTGCTCCTGGTCCTCCTCCTCATCCTCCTCCTCCTAATCCTCCCCGTCCTCAACAGATACATCCTTCATCTCCTCGAGAAATGCCGCCGCCTCCTCCTCCTCCACTTCCTCCTCCTCTTCCTTCTTCTCCTCCTCCTCCTCCTCCTCCTACTCCTCCTCCTCCTCCTCCTCCTCCTCCTCCTCCTCCTCCTCCTTCCGTAGCCATTTTGACTCAAGCGGTCGCATGCCTTGCGCTTTGGTCGTCAGCGTCGCATGCCCTTCGATTCGCACGTCAGCGATGGCTGGAGTTCGAAAGGCTAGAGGAGCTCTTGCGCCTGCCGCGGCGGCCTCCCTGGTGGAGGCGACTGAGCGCGGCGCGATCCTGGCCTGGGCGCCGCGGGGCACGGCTGCGGCCGCGGTGCGTTCGGCAGCCTCGGCAGCGCTCTCCGCGCTATCGGGGCCAGCCGAGCCGCCGGCTGCCAAGCCAGTTCCGGAGGATGCATGGCCCGCTCCAGCGCGAGGTTCCGCGAGGCCGCTGCGGCGCGGGCGCGGAGGTGACAGCGCCGCCGCCAGCGCCTTGCGGAGCGGCGAGCGCTCGCGGGCGGCGCGGGTGCGCCCGAGGCAGGCGGGGCGGCGGCTGAGGCGGCACCGGCTGCTGGCGGAGGCTGTGCCCCTGTGCCCGCGGCGGGGGCCGTGGAGGCTGCCGCCGCCATGTGCTCGGCGTCTTTTGATCCTGACGACGGGTTCGCTGACGAGCTTCGCGTGGGTGGGCGGGGTGGTCGCGGCCTTGGCGTCGGTGATCCCGCTGCACGGCGACCTCGGGAAGCCCAGGGTGCGCGAGCGAGCGCGTCTAGTGCTCGCGAGGACGGAGTCGGCGAGTTCAAGGGCGGCGGACCTCATGGCGGACTATCGGCGGCGGCTGGCGGCGTCGGGTGGTCCGCGGTCGCCCTGGACTGTGTAAGCCCGCATTCCTCCTGGAGGGAACCCTGCTGCTGTTGTTCCTCCTCGTCGTAGTTTTGAAGGCGTCCTTCATGGCTGTGCTCGGCAAGATCCACGAGGTACACTGCGCGGTTGGGGTCCAGTGCTGGTCAGGTCCAGCACTGGCCCCCCGCTGGCGCTTGCAGCGCTTCGGTCGCGGATGTTGAACAATCCCCTCTTCTTCTTGTTATCCTCCTCCTCCTCCTCCTCCTCCTCCTCCTCCTCCTCCTCCTCCTCCTCCTCCTCCTCCTCGTCCTCCCCCCCTCGGATCCGAGGCTCGAGGACCAAGGTTCGGAGGCGCCTCTCTTCGGCCACGCCCTGGAGCTCTCCAGCGAGCGCCGCTGATCCCACCAGCCCAGAACTTCGAAGACACGGTTCCTCCGATGCGGGCGTCTCCTCTCGGTGTTGGCCTCTGGCTTTTTTGTTGCAGAGCCCCGGGGACAATGGACCCGGGGCGAAAAATTAACCCGGGTCAGGGATCGAGACCTTCGGGGCGCGCAGGGACAAAACCATACACCAGATTTCGTAATAAAAGGGAGGGGGTCTGGACCCTCCAAGACAAGTCACTTCAGACCCCCCCTCGTGGGAGAACCCTCCAAAACATCGTCCCCAGACCCCCCACAGGCCCTCCAAGATAGCCTGGAAGAGACCCCCCCCGAAATGAGACCCCCCTCCCTTTATTACGAAATCTGGAGTAGCGCCTGACGTCCACGAACCTGCCTCTGCGAGAGCGCCGGCTCCCGCGGAGGCATCGGGTGGGCCTCCCGACACCCACCAGGGCCCCCGTTGGGGAGGCCGCAGGGACAAACTGCCCCGTCCAGGAGGTTGCCAGTGGGCTCGGCGCCGATCGCGCGGGCGCCCATAGCTCCAAAGTTCCATAGCTTCCGGCCTCTCGGGGCCCTGACCAGTCCTCGGAGGGGGGACCTCCGCAGGCATTCCCAGGGGACCTCCAGGGACCCCCGGGGAGGAATCGTGCAGGCCTGCATGATGTCGGGGTAAGTTGCCCCAGCCTGGCCTCGTTTTATAGGAAAACGGATCGTGGGTCAAAGGTTGCGGCCGTTCTCAGACTTCTTCTAGGGAGGGGTGCCAGGCGCGTGCTCGTCGCAGCGGACGGGTCCGCCTCCTCGAGTTTTGGCTGGGACGCGCTCAAGGCCAGCCACGCGCACAGGCGGGGGGAAAAGGGAGGGGGGCAGGCTTCTGAAAAGCACCCGTGTCCCTTCGAGGGCGCGGGCCTTGTCTGCAATAAAGCAGAAGGCCAGCGCCTCCTTCGAGAAGTCTCCCTCCCCCTCCTCCCCCTGCCGTCTCCTGCGCGCCACCAGCAAGGGCAGGGCTGGAGGTCCGGGGGGGGACCTTCCGCTCGGGGCGGCGACGGCCGGTGCCTCGGCGGCGGGGCCACGCCGTGCGGTGAGCCAGCGGGGGGGCGGGGTCAGACCGCACGGTTTGGGGCCTCGGGCCGTTCTCTGGGGACGTCTCGGGCGACGGGCTGACTGCGCGGCGGGGTCCAAAACACTTTTTAAAAAAATTGGCTCGCGGATGGCGATCGCTCCCTTGTTCCTTGTTTTGCCGATCGGCGCGGGCCCTCGCACCCCCAATCCCCCCCCATGGAACAGATCTTGGCTGTTTTGGGCGCCTGCTTCGAGCAGGTGGAGCCACCCCTAGAGGACGCACTGCTGCAAGCAGTCGCATCAGCAGAGGTCCGGGGCCAGACCCCCCCCTCCCCCCCCTCCGCCCAATGTCGAGACGCCGAATGAGAAAACGCTCACGCGCAGGAAGCTTCGAAATCACGTCGATGATTCTTTACAAGTGCTGTGGTTGATATTTCGAGGCTGAGCATCCCAGCGGTGTCAGGAACCAGCGCAGAAGTCGGCGCGCCACGAACCTGCCGCAGCTGCTTGCGGTTCGGAGGTTGCGCTCCAGAGCTCGGGCATCTCACCCACAAGCGTAAGCTGCTGCCCCAGGATGGGCAAGTTTGCGTTTCGCTTCCTCGGGCCTCGCTGAACGCTTGTTTGGGCGTCTCTTGAAGGCGTTGGGACTTTGGGAGATATTGGAGCTCGTGTGGTGCAGTTTCGTCGTCTGTGGCTGTTCTTCGGGTGTCTTTGGGGCGGTCTCACGCTGTAATGATGCCGTCTGGAAGTTGGAAGCTGGTCTTCAGGTGTCTTTACGGCGGTTTTTGGCTGTGATGGTCCGTCTGGAACTTGGAAAAGTGAGCTGTGGGTGTCTTGGGGTGGGCTCTTGGGACCGTATCGGGCAGTCTTTTTTCAGCTTTTGGGGGTTTTCTGAAGCTTACCTCAGGCGACCTCGAGCCGAACATGATCGGAAGCGAACAAACTGCGTGGTCCATTTGTTTTTCAACGTGGTTCGCCTCGTATTGCCTCGCCATGGGCCTCTTGAAACGTATATTGAATTGGGGTTTCTTGAGATATTCTTGGGAGATCTTGCGGTGGTCGTCGGGGGGCCGTCTTGGGATGACCGTCAAGCCTGTCGTAGCAGTGTTGGGCGGTCTTTGGTTTTTTGGGAGCCTTCTAGAACCCTCGGAAGTGCTAATTTTGCAAGATGTTTTGGTTCGGAGGAGCATCATCGTGTGTCTCTCGAATGTGTGGATATGCTGGAGTTGTTTGGAAGTCGCGCAGCCGTTCTTGCATGGTCTCGGAGCGTCTTGTTGCGATGTGTGGGCTGTCTTAGTGCCGTGTGGAGGGCGAAAAGAGTGCCGAATAGCAAAACCAAGGGTGAGGGCAGAGGGCTAATTTTCGGAGCAAACGCGCTAGTACACCTTAGGCGATGCTTAAGAAAACCCAAGTGTTCGGCCAGAGTCTCGACTATTCTTAATGTTTCAATGTAAACCCTAAGGTTTTAATATGATGTGTGGGTATTCATTCAAGTTCTGAGACTATGAACTTCTTAACCCATGATTTCTTGAGCATTTTGCAAGGTGTAGGTGGGGGGTCGGCTCAAGAAGGGCTAAAGACACGTCACCAGACAAAAGACAAGCAGTCTAACACACCCTAGCGTGCCGAAGGCGCGGTGGTGGATCTTCCTCCTGCCTTCTCCTGGCATCCCTCTGCTGCTCGTCCGCCTCCTTCTCCCCCCTGTCGGGCCTACATCCTCCCCCCGACTTCCCCTTTCCCTCCTCGCTGTTCATTCCTGCCTCCTTCCTCCCTCCCCCAGCCTCCCCAGACGGCGACGAGCCCCTGACCTATCCTGTGGGCGCAGCACGACCGTGATTTCTCGAGGTCGACCCAGCCGCGGCCACGCGGGCGCCTCCCTGGCAGGCCCGAGAGCTGCCCAAGACGTCAAAGGGATCCTCGGCCTCGACGACAGCTCGGCGGCGGCGGCGGCGACGGCCATTGCAACGAATCTGGCGGCGCCCAGGGCGGCCGCAGCGGCCGCAGCGCCGGCGACGACGACCACGGCGACGGCGACGGCGACGGCGAAGGCGACGGCGACGGCGACGGCGACGGCGACGGCGACGGCGACGACGACGACGACGACGACGACGACGACGACGAGGACGAGGACGAGGACGTCCGCAACCGGGGCGGCGCCCGTGGCGGCGGTGGCGGCGTCCTGGGCCCGCCGGCAGGTGCCGCCGCGGACGTGCTGGCGCTGCTGCGCGGCGGCGCCTCCTCGGGGGCCGCGGAGCAGAGCGACGACAGGCCTTTGCCCTGGAGCGACAGCGCCAGCGACGACCGCGGCGATGGCGGCGGCGGTGGAGAGGGAGGAGGTGGAGGAGGGCCCGGGGAGAGAAGGAGGAGAAGGAGGAGGAGGAGGAGGAGGAGGAAGGAGGAGGAGAAGGAGGAGGAGGAGGAGGAGGCGGAGCAGGAGGAGGAGCAAGAAGAAGAGGAGGAGGAGGAGGGAGGAGGAGGAGGAGGAAGAGCGCCGTCTCGATCAAGCCTTCGCTTGAAGAGCGGCTCACACCATTCACCTGAACATTGTCTCCCCTTTTTTAGCGCCGATGGTCGTTCTTGCTCGTCTCCGATGGATCCAGTAACAGGCGGCCACTCGTCATGTGAAGGTCCACCTGCGAGCTTAGGGACCCCACGAAGGTCAAGTACAAGCTAGCGCTTTCTCCGGAGCGTGTAATTCCTGGTCCTGCGCATTCGCTGGCAGTATCGTTCATGGAGGGTCTTACAAACAACCTTGAAATTGTCGCTGCCTCCGATCGTGGTCATGCGCACTGCGGCAGAGCTTCAGGTGTACAGGCTTGTGGTGTTCGTCAAACGGTTCCTGTTTCCTCTCCGAGGGCCGATGGAGCTGTGGAGAGGCCGCCTCTTGCGGTGATGCTCGCGCTGGGCCCCTTGGTGCACCTGAAGATCAGGAGGGGAAAAAACACACAGACACAATTAATCGTCGATTCCCAGGAAGATGTGGGAAAGCATGGGACGTGGAGGGGAAGACGAACGCCCAGAAGAAGATATGGGAAAATGTTGGGGAACCTTTGGATTTGTGTTATTTATTCCATCGCTTTGCTCATCCCGCCGGCCCATATTGTAGCATCGCTGGGGCATTTGGGGGGCCTCCTGGGGCCGCTTGGGGGCCTCGTGGGGGCATCTGAGGGCATCTTGGGGGCCTCTTGGGGCCCCTTGGGAGCCTTTCGGGGGCCCCTTGGGCGCTCCATGGGGGCCTCCCGGGGCCGAGGGCTCGACATATATCCGTGCGGGTCTCCCGTCTGGGCCCCCTCTTGGAGCCGGCTTTGGGGCCCTCTTGAGGGCTGTCTTGGAGGCCTCTTGCTGTCGTCTTGAGGCTCTCCGGGGCGGCTCCGGGGCCCTCTTGAGAGGGCCTTTATTGGGCCGTCTCGGGGCGACCTCTTGGGGGCCTCTTGGGCCGCTGTGGACGCTGTGAGATCTCGAGTGGCGAATGTGCTAAAAATATTCGGGGGCGGACAGACCCCCCAACAGTGACACGTCGATTAGTGAATTGTCCGTTTTCGGTTCTCGAGAGGGCGCTGCGGCCGTTATTTTCCAGGCTTCCGCCCGCCAGGTTTGGGCCTCAGGTCGTTTTCACTAAACCACGTTTTACTAAAGGGAGTTCTGTCCATCCCCGAAATATACGCTTGCGTAAGGAATGGGGCGATGGTTGCCTCTTGGGACGCCTGTTGGGGCGTCTGGGAGCCATCTTGCGCATCTTGAAGCGAGCGTGTGGCATCTCGGAGCACTCTTGAACCATCCTGGGGGCTCTTGGCGGCCTCGCGGCCCTTCTTGGGGCTCTCTGGAGGGCCTCGAGGGCGGCGCCCAGGAGGAAAGCCATCTCTGAGTCGGACCGCCCGGGACCTTGCCGGGGTACTTTTCGTCCGGGGACCCCCCGGGTCCGCCCCGCGCGCGCGAACTAGAAATACACCCTGCGAAATGCTTAAGAAATCATGGGTTAAGAAATTCATAGTCTCAAAATCTGAATGGAAACCAAGAATGTCTATTCAAATCTTGGGATTTACATTGGAACATTAAGAATAATCGAGACTCTGGCCGAAAACTTGGGTTTTCTTAAGCATCGCCTGGAGTGTGCTGTTAACCAGTTACCGGAGATCTTAGCACGCCTCTGGCCCGTTGGGCCGGCGAATTTGTGCGTCCCAGGGCCCCTTTCGAAGATGACGACGATTGGAGCGGTGGCGCTGTCGCTGGCAGTGGCGCTGCAGCGCTTTCGGGTTGATGCAAAAAGGGGTCGTCCAGCGACAAGGGAGTGGTGCAATAGATTTGTTGCAATAGATCTGTGGGGTTGCAATACATTTGGGGCGTGCAATACATTCCGGGGCGCAAATGTCTTGCTGGATTTGCGCGTGCAATACATGACTTGCAAGACAATGCAATTCTCCGGCGCAATACATTTGCAAAACAATTGCCCCGAATCTATTGCACCACCCCCTTTCAGTTGGACCCCCTTTTGGGTCACCCAAACGCTTTCGGACCTCGCGATGGCGCCAGTGACAAGGCGGGCATATCTCTACAGTTCCGTCCGGCATGTCCCTCTACAGAAGGAATGTTCAAAAATAAGCAAACAAAAAAGCATGGGGACGATTCGTTGACTATTTCTGACTATTTTTGAATATTGCTGACTATTTGTAATTTTCCTGCCAAAACCCCATGTAGGAGGACATGCCCGACCTAACTCTACAGGAAAAATACTCCAGAAGAGTCCCAAAATAGTCCAGTGACGATCTTCCGTGCTCGTGCTATCATAGAGCAAGTGTTTTGTTGACTATGCCTTATTTTTCTTTCAAGATTGCTGTAGGTCAAAGGGGCAACAGGTACCGATACCGCTACCCGTCCCTCGTTTTCCCCTTTTGGGGGACTCCTGTGTAGCCCTTGTCCCCACTGCTGGATTCGCCTCGGAATCGTGGTCAGAACGCACCCCGGGAGAGGTCCGGGAAGTAGCGGTATCGGTACTTTTTGGTTTACCCAGTGGGAGCCCATGCCAGACCTAAGAGCAGGCGGGGATCTCGCCAAGCAGGCGATCTCTGGCGCGGAGCTGGCAGAGGATGTCGGCGACCAGGAGCCAGAGACAGCGCGCGCACGGTGTTCGGAGGGCCCGCTGGAGAACCGCCGAGCGCTCGGGCGCAATCAGGGCGCGCCGATCCCCAGTCGGACGCTTTCTATTGGGAGGTGGAACTTCACACGTTCTTCTGACTACCAGTGGCCATAAAAACAAGGCACCCTAATATATATATATATATATATATATAAGCACGGCACCCTCGAAAACACTTTTAATAACAACGCGCCCTAGAAAAAGTGTGTATGTGTGCGTGTGTTTCAGTATGTTGTTTCATGCTTTGGGGGGTGTTTTGTTTTTATGGCCACCGGCAGCCGCAAGAACGTGTGATGTTCCAATTCCCGCCGTCGATGATCATGAGGACCAAGAGCTCAGAGGAGGGAAAGGTACCCACGTCCGTTTTCCCCTTTTTCGGTCTCCTGAGAGGCCCTCGTCGCCAATGCTGGATTCGCCTCGAAATTCTGGTCAGAACGCACCCTGGGAGAGGTCTGGGGAGCAGCGGTATTGGTACCCCTTGATTTTCCCAAGAGCCCAGCATTCGCTGGCTAATTATTTTCGCAGTCGGCGGAGGTGGAGGCACCCACCTCGCAGGCTCTGGTTGCTGCTGGGGGCCGCCCCCCGTTCTTCCTCCTCCTCCTCCTCCTCCTCCTCCTCCTCCTCCTCCTCCTCCTCCTCCTGTTTGCACTGCTCTGGCAGCCAGCTTTGATCTCTCAGAGCCCTGAGGCCTTCTCCTCCACCGACGCAGACATGGGAGATGGCCCTCGACCCTGCGAGCGGCATGCCGCACTTCGTCAACCAGGCGTCTTGTGAGACGCGCTGGTTGGCACAGAATGGTGCAGGCTAGACGCGACTGCACCGCTGGTGGATTCGGTGCGCGCGTTCCTGGTTCCTGGTCCGCGGCTGGTTCCCTGCGGGCCTTGTGCTGGCGAATCCCGTGAGTATGCGCCCCCCCTATGCGGCCTCCTGCTTTCCTTCCTTCTTCCTCCCCTGTGCTCCCCCCTCCCGGGGGGGGTGCTTGGACGCGGGCTTGCCTTTCCCGGTTTCGGGGGTTCCGGGGTCCCTCGTCGCCCCCGTCTCTCCGCCTGCTCTCAGGGCAAGCCCGCGCCGACTGGTGGCATGGCCGCAGCTTATTCCACTGGCGGGCCTCTCGCTGCCAGCCCAGCGCTTGGTTCTACACCCTTGTGGTCTTATCGCGCTTCTTTCCCCCCGTTTCGGCATCGAACCTCTTGCCGCACGTACACCGAACCAGTGAGGAGACGAAGGAGGGGGAGGACCAGCCCAGTGCAACGTTCACGGCCCGTGGCACGGACCCTCCACTTGGAGACGAACGCGCACCACCCATCCTATCTTTCTCCACAACCCACCGGCTAAGAGGCGAACGCCACCCTCATGCCGAGTCCGGGCGTGCCGCCTCACGGAGGCCCGTCAGCGCGTCATGTTCTCTTGCCACCAATTTTGACCCCAGCGACCGACAACTCCAACCACCCAATTCTTGCTCCTAGCAGCCAACGGCGCCACCGGATGCCCCTCACCTCACACCTGACCTCGGCGCTGCTCTTACACCGAACCGCCGCACTCAGCGTTACGACAACAGCAGCAGCAACTATACGACTCTCACACGGCACACGGCTCTGCTCCGACCTCCTCTCCCCGCGACAGCAGCATTCCACCCTGGCGCCCGGCGACGGCTACCACCCCGAGAGGTGCGAGGATAGCAGGCCGACGGCAACAGAGGGTCTCGAAACCCGCCGTGGCTTTCTCACCCACAGAGGATTATCCGACGATTCATGGCACCCACGACGGCGGCCACAACTACAATAACTATGCTATGTAGTGGGTCCACGGTCGTACAGGACTCGGAAATTCTCAGTGGTTGTCTAGCCCACATGCAGCATGCTATCATACACCAGGGCCACCTCTATGCTCGTAGATCCGCGGCCAGACAGGGATTACAAATCCGCCATGGCTCTCTCACCCACGCATGCTACCTTATCCGACGAACATGAGATGATCGCTCTGCAAACAAAACAACAAAATGTGGCCAAATGGATGGGACCACCAACTTTCAATGACAAGTTGGCAGAGCTGTCTCATTCACCTCTTTGGTGGTGGCCTTAATCGCCAGCGCTGCTGGGGCTTCGGAGGCAACATTACGAAGAGTCAACTAACCACTCGGTCCTGAGAGGGTTCTCACCCACGTTCACCCTTCCCGGCTCCACCTGCTCTTAGTTGCCCCCCCGCCGTTCACCCCACCAACCTATTATTACCCACTCGTGGTGTGGCGCGATTGGGCGGGGCAATTTCGCGGGGGCGGGAGTGACAAGGATTTGATTGTCTGGTTGTCTTGGCGAGGGCTAAAGCG